CTTTACTAAAGGTTCGGTATTTGAGGAGCAGGAGCAGCAAAAAAAACTCGCAAATAATATCAGTGTACAAGGGTGTGCTGTTGTTGTTTAGATTCAGAATACATCAAATTTGGCTTATAATTCAGACTAGCGAGAGCGAGCGAGCTAAAATATGAAAAAAATGTGTCATAGGAGATGCATAAAAATTTCTGGAAAAGAGCAGTACACTTTACGAAAACTGGTTTAATTGGAGAGGACGAATTTGCCGGATACTCAAAATGAACAGAAGAATGAGTGCTCCGACAATGTGCATTCTTTTTTCCGTGTTCGCTCACGCCAATTATTATCGTAAGAATAATACAAAGCATCAAATACACATGCTTCGTATACATCAAAATCTTTTGATCACATTTTCTCGGTGGGAAGCGAAAGCTGCTGGGGTTGTTGACAACAGGTGGAGACTGCATATTAGCGACTGGTGTTCTAAACCAACCACTCGGCCTCGTAGAAAACGCGCACGTACATCGGACAGACGGCGAGTGTAAATGAGGGCTTGCAACTCAAAATCAAAGGAACTGGTGTAACTGCGCCTCGCTGTGGCAGCACACATGTAATATCACTAAAATCAGGTACTCAAATTGACGCCTGAGCGATTTTAGTAGTGTTGAGTTTTCTCAGCTTTCAGGAGCATTTATTCAAGACTGTCCGAAAAGCAGCATTTAACACCTTTGCAACACAGAATATGAATTTTTATGATTTTTTTCCAGTGTTTTTTCTGGTACTGAATTAAGAATTTTCAGCCATTCATCTTTCTGTCGCAAACGCGGCACTTGCTTCATTACCAGTATGAGTTCCAGCGTGTCTTTGCAGGTTTGTCTTATAGCCGAAGCTCGAATTGCAGCGATCGCATCTGAACCGCTTTTCACCAGTATGAACTACGTAATGCCTCCTTAAATCTCCCAGTGATCCGAAATTTTTATTGCACTGGTTGCAAACATATGGCTTCTCACCAGTATGAATTCGCATGTGTCTCTGCAAGCCCATTTTCTGTCCAAAGCTCGAATTGCAATGGCCGCACTTGAAAGGCTTCTCACCAGTATGAATTCGCATATGTGCTTGCAAATTTGCTCTTTGGGTGAAGCCCGAATTGCAACAGCCACATTTGAACGGCTTCTTACCAGTATGAATTCGCACGTGTCTTTGCAAGTCCGTTTTCTGTCCAAAGCTCGAATTACAGTGGTCGCATTTAAACGGCTTCTCACCAGTATGAGTTCGAATGTGTCTTTTCAAGTTTGCTTTATTTGCGAATCTCGAATTGCATTGACCACATTTGAAAGGCTTCTCACCAGTATGAGTCCTGCAATGCCTCCGTAAACTTCCCAATGTTCCGAAACTCTCATCG